TCTAGATTGCACTAGACAACAAGCATTCATATGTGAGCATTTTGCACCAACTTCATGTGTATGTAGTATTAGAACGTAAACCTTATACACCTAGCATGTTTCATGTCATAATATCTTTACATGAGCTTGTGTGTCTGCATTGTTTGATGAGCATTCCCTATTTGTTTAATTGATGATGTGATTTACAAGCTTTTCACTAATGCCAAGGGACTATTCTCTTATTTCTTACGGTTTGACAATGAAGTACTGTGGGATTTGTGATATCCACCTGTTGGATCCTTCTTGTTGGTTTGGAATAATTGTTTCTACTTCATTGCTTGGTTTTTCATACTATATGTAACATGAATTTGGCACATACGGGGTTTTATAGCGATTTGTTTAATATTTGCCCTCACATCCTAGGTTTCATGTTTAAATTATTCTCCCTGTAATTTAATAAAGATTATCATATCGTTTGTATAACAAAAATAAAAAAATAAACTTAGGCATGATGTGCCTTATATACAAGTGGGTCGTACTATTAGAACCCTATGTTGAACACTCGCGAAGAACACGTAAATGTATGTTTGCTTTTGTACTCAATAGCTGGGAGAATATCTGTTATTCATTCAAAGAGTAACAATGGCATTAAATAGCTTTACAAAGAAAACTGAACGCTGAAAATATGCAGCCCACGTTTTACAATCCTAACAATGTGGTACACGACTAAATTAGAATCAAACTCAATAACTTGTCCCTAAAGAATAGGGATTATTAACAACTACTAAAAACAACCCTACAAACTAGGAGACCTAACCCAAACGGTTAGGAAATCCTAACAACTTCAACATCATCCCTTAAACTAAATGCTATCAGCAGTTAGTTTATATCCACTAGTGAACAAACACCCATTAACTCTCGCAATTTCTAAAACACGTCCAACTTCAAAGGCTTGGTCATGATATTTGCTACTTGCTTCTGCGTAGAACATTGAACTAATCCCACAACTTCATTTTTGGTGAGCTCTCGAAGAAAATGGAAACGAACATCTATGTGTTTGCTACCCCTATGCATCACTGGATTCCTTGAGAGCTTAATGGTAGAACTATTATCACAATAAATCATTGTGAACTTGCGTGGTTCATGATTGAGCTGCTGCATGATCCTTCTTAACCATATTTCTTGACATGCACTCGAAGCTGCAACTATAAACTCGGCTTCAGTGGTAGATAAAGTGACGATGGGTTGTTTCTTCGAGGACCATGAAACTGCCCCTGAACTCAACATAAAAACATATCCATAAGTGCTCTTCCTATCATCCTGATCTCTAACATAATCACTGTCAGTGTACCCAACAAGTTCTTTTCCTCCCCTATTCTTATAGAATAACCCAAAACTCACTGTGCCCTTCAAGTACCTCAACACTATTTTTGTTGCTTTAAGATGCAACTCGGTAGGTCATTCCATAAACCTGCTAATCAAACTGATAACATACATCATATCCGGTTGCGTTTTAGTGAGGTACATAAGACTGCCCATAATTTGTTTTTACAGAGTGCTATCAATTTTTAGTCATCCTTCATCCTTCATCATTTTGAAACCAGGAACAATATGATTATGAACTGTATTACATTGGTCCATGTTAAACCTCTCCAACACTTCTTGAGCATATTTTCGTAGACTAACATAGATACCTTCCAACCTTTGAAGCACTTCTAAGCCAAGAAAATAGCTCATTCTCCCAAGGTCAATCATATCAAACTCAGTCATCATAGAATGCTTGAACTCTTCGAACATAGACTCATCATTCCCAGTAAATATAAGATCAACATAAAGGCAAACAATTAACATTTTACCTCCATTCATTCTTTTGGCAAACAATGTGTGTTCATGTGGGCACTTCTCGAAACCTTCATTCATGAAATAAGACTCAATGCGGCTGTACCATGCTCGAAGAGCCTGTTTAAAACCATATAAAGCCTTTTTAAGCTTATATATCCTGTGTTCCTGCCCCTTTTGTTCATAGCTAGGAAGTTGTGCAACGAACACTTCTTCATTTAATTCACCATGGAGGAACACCGACTTAACATCCAACTGATAAACTGTCCAATCATTCTGAGCTGCAAGTGATAAGATGACATGGACTGTATCCAAGCGAGCCAGAGGTGCAAACACTTCGGCATAATCTACTCCATATTGCTGATTGTACCCTTTTTGCAACCAAGTGGGCTTTATATTTGTCCACTTTACCATTCTCATTGAGCTTTTTTTTGTAAATCCATTTCGCCCCAATCACTTTTCCTCCTAATGGCATCTCTATCAACTCCCACATATTATTTCTTTCTATAGCCTCAATTTCTGAATCTATAGCCTTCTTCCATTTTTCACTATTCACCGCTTCCTCATAAGTGATGGGATCAAGCTCGGCAAATAAGGCTAAGTGAGCCATGTCTTCCTCCTCAGAGAGACCTTCTCCACTTACATAGTCTCTCATCCAAACTGGTTGTCTTCTAACTCGTTCTTCAATGGCAGTGTCTTGTGTATTGTTATCATGAACAGGTTTCTCACTCTCTACTGTTGTTTCATTAGTCTCGGATTCTTCTACGTTGTTATCATTTCCTGGGCTTTCTTCTTCATTCATTTCCCACTCAAGATCAGCCATGATTGTTTCTCGGTGATTGTCATTCCAGTCCCAAGCTTTATCTTCTTCAAAAATCACATCTCGGCTTATCACTATCTTCTTAGAAGCTGGATTGAATAAATGATAAGCCTTGGATTCCTCATTGACTCAAAGTAGGATGCAGTTCTTACTCTTGTCATCAAGTTTAATCCTCTTACTGTCATAAACATGCACGTGTGCTAGACACTTGATGGTTTGGAGCCACTCGAAGCTTCTTCTGGCTTCATGTTTCTCACTGCTAGAGTTGGACTTCAGTTGAGTACATGAATGGTCCAGTTGATTGCTTCTAGCCAGAAAGTTCTTGAAATTTTCTTCTTTGTAAGCTTGCTTCAAACCATGTTCATAATAGTTCGATTCTTCTTCTTCGCGACACCATTCTATTGGGGAGTATAAGCAATAGTCAACTGCCTTTGAATTCCATGCATGTTGCAAAAATCTGTGAACTCGAGTGAAGTGAATTCACCCTCACGATCTGTACGCAGACTCCTTATGCTTGAACCAGTTTCTTTTTCAACCCTAGCCTTGAAACTTTTGAAAGTACTAAAGGTTTCTAACTTGTCAACCAAGAAATATACCCATGCTTTTCTACTATAATCATCGATAAAGGTAATGAGATACCTTTTCTTACTGTTAGAGATCAGATTAATGGGCCCACATACGTCTGTATGCACAAGTTGAAGAAGATGCCCTCCATGTACTATCCTTTGGAAATGGATCTCGTTGTTGCTTCCCCACCAAACACTTTTCACAAACTTTCGTGTGAGCTTTGAACTTTGTAAGCCCTTCACCATATTCTTTAGTTTTGTTAAAGGATTTTTAAACCGCTCCAACTCAAAAGTCCATATTTGCAATGCCACAATTGGGGTTGATCGTCTGCAACAGTGTTGAAACACTTCTGTTCTTATGATTGTGTGCGAGCCAATAAGATAAACATTTGATTTGCCGCCATTGAGGTCTCCCAAATCAATCATCTCTCTGGATGATAAATCTTGCACTTGCCACTTTTTTATAAAAATGGCAAGGCCATTCTCTTGCAACTGTCCAATGCTCATTAAATTATTCTTTAAATCCGACACATAGAATACCCCAATGATGACCTACATGATTCCATTGACTTCCATATGAACATTTCCCTTCCCTAGCATAGCCAAGCTTGAATTGTTCCCTAACTTCACAGATTTCCTGAAATTTTCATCCAAGTTTGTGAACATCTCCTTCTTGCCACACATGTGATTGTTGCATCCCGAGTCCAAGAACCATAATTCCTCTCTGTCAACCTCCTCGATATCCACATAAGCCATCAACAACATTTCTTTACTTGTTTTTGCATAGAAACCTTTTGAATCCTTCCCATTCTTATGGAATTCCCACTGAAAATGCCCCAGTTCATGATAATTGTAACATTCAAGGGTAGACTTGTTAGGTCCATATATACCCCTCCATCGTCCTCTTCCTCTGAAACTGCTGCGTCCACCTCTCCCGCCTTGTTGACATCATGAGTCACCTTTAGAGCTTGCTCATCCACCGTGTGTCTCCCCATTCTTTGCTCGTGTACCAACAAGCTACCTTGTAGTTCATCGATGGACAAGATGTCGAGATCATTAGACTCTTCAATGGATTTTTTCAATGACCACCATGTCTTCCATCTTTTCCCCATGACTTCTCATCTTGTTGGCTATGGTGAGAGTTTGTGCGAAGTACTCATTCACTTATTCCCCCTCCTTCATGTGTAGAATTTCAAACTCTTTGCGAATAGATTGTAATTGTGCACGTTTAAATCGTGATGTGCCCTAGTACTTCTGCTTCAAGGAGTCCTAGATGTCTTTCGCGGTATCTTTCTTCAATATCCCAATGATGACCTACATGATTCCATTGACTTCCATATGAACATTTCCCTTCCCCAGCACAACCAAGCTTGAATTGTTCCCCACTTCATAGAATTACTAAAGGTTTCATCCTTGTCTGTGAACATCTCCTTCTTGCCACACATGTGATTGTTGCATTATGAGTCCAAGAACCATAATTCCTCTCGGTCAACCTCCTCGATATCCACATAAGTCATCAACAACATTTCTTCACTTGTTTCTACATAGAAACCTTTTGAATCCTTCCATTCTTAGAGCATTCCCACTGAAAATGCCCAAGTTCATGACAATTGTAACATTCAATGGTAGACTTGTCAGGTCCATTTCTACCCCTCCCTCGTCCTCTCCCTCTGAAACTGTTGTGTCCATCTCTCCTGCCTTGTTGGACATCATGAGTCACCTTTAGAGCTTGCTCATCCACCATGTGTCTCCCCATTCTTTGCTTGTGTACCAACAAGCTGCTTTGCAGTTCATCGATGGACAAGATGTCGAGATCATTAGACTCTTCAATGGATCTTTTCGATGACCACCACATCTTCCATCTTTTCCCCATGAATCCTCATCTTGTTGGCTATGGTGAGAGTTTGTGCGAAGTACTCATTCACTGATTCCCCCTCCTTCATGTACAAAATTTCAAAGAGCAACAAAGGCATTAAATAGCCTTACAAAGAAAACTGAACGCTGAAAATATGCAGCCCACGTTTTAGAATCCTAACAACGTGGTACACGATTAAATCAGAATCAAACTCAATAACTTGTCCCTAAAGAATAGGGATTATTAACTACTGAAAACAACCCTACAAACTAGGAGACCTAACCCTAACGGCTAGGAAATCCTAACAACTTCTAACACGTACTTGTACTGTGTTTTGGCCAATCCCAGCCCTAACCGGAATCGGGGCGATCCCACTATAAATAAAAGGAACCCAGACCCCCCATCCCAGCGTCCAACAATCGATTATCAAATCCCTGATTCTAGAAGTCCCAATCGCTCGCGATCTCGATCTGCAATCTCAGCCTCCGCCACGGCGTCAGGGTCACGCTTCCGCTTTAAGACCTCACTCTCAAAGCCAGAGTCAGACGAACCTCTGTATGCACCTGAAGGCTGCTACCTCGAGGCAGGCCCTGACGCACCTGTCTCTGTGTGCATAACTGAAAACCCTAATTTTCAGAATTGGAGGGAAACGGGGCTGCCGCCGATATTGCCCGGGGCGGATGTTCCTTGGTGGCAGGATGCCTCTTTACCAGTTGGACCGCAGCCATCGCTTGCCGATGCCCTCTATGGTGATTGATTCGACCCTCTCTCTCTCCCTCTCTCTCATTTTTTTTTTTTTTTACATTTATTTGGTTTTCATGCTATTTTGTTCATAATTTACATGCTAATATTACAGAAGAAAAACATTTTTAATCACTAAGAGTAAGTGCCACGTTGTTTGCAGTTGAATATATTATGGTGTTGGACGATGGAATTTCATTTTCTAAAATTTGTGGATATTTTTGTTTGGTTAATATAAAAAAATAATAAAACTGAATACGGAATTTGTAATTTTTTGAACTCTCAATCATAGAATTTGTGGTAGAGAATTGGAGGTCCCAAATTCTAAGTTTATTTTTCATTTGGAAATTCTAAATTTTTATGTTTATGAATCTAAATAATATAAATTCTGACTTTTATCCAAATTTCAAATTTATTTCCGTCGTCCAAACGAAGTGTTAGTCAGACAATCACACATACTCTGCTAATAGCAAGGGAGTACTTATACTAGTTGTTAAACTGTGACAACAGATGAAAAAACCGAACGGCTTAGTGTAAGGAGAATGATTGCCGGTGCTTTGTCCAGGGTATCGAAGGAAGTTGGTGAAAGCTTTAGGGATTCTGTCAATGCATTTGACCCTCGTAAAGTTGCTGCTCAAGTGGAATCTGTGCTCTTTGATAACTGGGGTTTTCGCGATGAGTCGAATTATGATAAGTATGAAGCTATAATACACTTCCTGATCCTGGATGAAATCAAGGAGTTCCGCAGACAAGTCCTTGTTGAGGAGATTCCGCCGGAGATGCTGCTCAACATGTCCTTTGAACAGCTGCAGCAGAGGTACCCGCAGACGCGCAGTTATCTTGACTACATTGCTCCCAAGTAAAACTGTGGCTGGCAATATCCATCCCGTGGAATTGAAGTTGTGTTCTGGCCATTTGCTGGTTGGATCACTTTATAAGTGAAGAGGAAGAGGAGGAGTGCTTGTGTACTTATTTTTTATTTTATTTTTTTTATGTTTAATGACGCTTGCATAACTAAGAGGCAATAACTATGCTCCAGAAATTTTCCTAGACAATACCAGATACGTAAGATTTTTTTTTTAATATTTTTTTTGTATTTGATTTCTTTGTAAAAACTGATCTCATCTGTTTTCTGGGACCTGGGCTTCAGGGAATTTTAACGAAAAGCTCCTAATACTGTTCATTTTAACGAAAAATCACATTTTTACACTAAAAAATCAATCATGATATTATTCACTTTGCCCTTTATTTGGTCTTTATCGTTAAAACTCAAAGTTTTCAAGCATTTTTTATTAGTTTTTTTGCTTCTTTTATACAGACTCCTTGTTAATAAACTAAAGCATAAAACTTTCAATTAACTCTCTTAATCACCGATTAAGACAATCACAATTGAGACCTATTTTAGGTTCATAACAATACTTCCTCCTTAAAAATTAGCCTTGTCCACAAGACTTTAAAAAATGGATGTGGGAACTTGTTTGAAAGCAGCAGCACATTCCCTTATGATGGACATGGTTCTCAATTCCAGATATGCCCGTTGCAATCCCAATATCAGCAAGTTTCAAAACAGGTGCATCATTCAGTGGTTTCAAAGCACTAGTTGACATCTCATGAAGAGCTTGCACGATATAGTTCCTTGAGGTATTGTCCAGTGGTACAACAGTGCCATCAAGCAATTGAACCTTGGTGCTTTTCTCAATCAAATTCTCTACAGCACCCTTCACTAGCAATGACTTCTTCCCTGAAACAGAGTTGACAATTACACCCATGGATTTCTTATCAGGATCAAACTCAAGGGTTGCACTTCGGCGTTCAAATTCATTCCACTTCTGGCAACAACCAAGCAAATCCCTTTCATTTGATGATTCCGCACCCTTGGATTCTTCGGGAATGGGCCATCTTCTCAACTAAAAACTTTGGAGCTGCCTCAGTAAGCATTCCATAGGCAACATACTTCTGTTCTGCCTGTGTAATGCTAGCATTATTGCAGACAGCAGCTACCTATGCGATCATTTGAAGATTAGCATCCATTCGACCAGTTGGCCAGTCATGAATTTCACCATCAAGTGGATTCAATTGTATGTAGTTCCATCCATCCTAAACTTCGGTAGTATAATAGGCCTAGGACGCAAAGCTATAAGTTTTGCCACTACCATCTGATTTTTAGTCATGGTCCCTGTTTTATCATCCCAAGTAAGGAAATATTTGATATGGATGAACCACACTAATACGCAAATTACTCCAGTGATCATCTTAAGTATCTCTCTGAACTCGTTAAACTTCTCCTTAAGTGGGGTATCTTCTTCGCTCTGTGAGGCAACATGGATTTGCATTTGCACCTTCCCAATTTCAGTCGACATTCCTGTCTCTGCAACAAAGCATAGGCAATTCCCATTCAAAACAATCGGTCCAGCGAAAACCATACTTTTCTTCCCCTGAATATCTGGGTCTTCAGAGATCGGCTTGTTAGTCTTATTCACTGCCACTCTCCCAGGTCAATGAACCTTGCTCCACCCTCAAAGTTGAGCAATGCTTGTCAAGCAACATGCGATTCACACAACAGCTGGGACGTACATCAACATCCGCATATACAAAATCTTTACTGTACTTTTTTTCAAAAATATCCCTTAGTGCGATCAGTTCAGAAATCTCAGAACACCTGGGAGAGGCCAAGATTAAACTAGCAATTCCTTCTTTGAGATAAGGCGGACACTCCCTTCGCTTTGTGATGATAGAAGGTCTAGATTCTACTAATTCACTCAATGAACTCATTGACAACCAAAATGTTATGTTCTCTAATCAAATGTTCAACTCGGATTCGAGCAGCGTCATCTTGACCAGATTGAAGGAGAAAGGCAATGTTAGGCCTCATTTGCTTCACCACCGCCCGCCTCTTGTTCCACAACAACTTTATTCGAGCTACCGCCATCTTCAATTTCATTTTGTTGAATTTGGAGCCTCCACCCTTACCCCAAATGCCATTGCAGTAGCACATGGCACCAATTGGCGTGGAGGAACCAATTATACTGCCCCCAAATGCTGGCTGTGATGCTTAAGTTGTACTTTCAAAAGGACTTGTTTGAGCAAGATTGAACCCAAATGCTCCGAACATAGGCTTCTGACCAACACCTGATGAACAAGCAAAAGCTCTACCTAATGCAATTGTACTTCCATATTCAAAACCAAAGGTAGAAATTTCATCAAACAAAGAAATTCTTCTTCACAAATTTACCCACAAAATACCAATCAACCCATCCAAATTTATCTTTCAGTAATGCACTATAGTTATCAGTCAAAAGAGAAGGGAATTTAGCCTCCGAATTTGCTAAAACGAAACTCGAATTAAGAACTACCTCAGGTTCAGTTTTCGTGGTATCGGGGAACGAGTGCGTATGGAGTAGCGGCAGAGCAGTCGTCAGCGTCGAAGCATGAATCACTCTTTTCGATTCCGGAAGAGAAGCTGTGGCTGCAGCGGAATCGTTCGACTGTGGCTTGACGGACGAAGTTGCCAGTGCTCGCAACAACGGTGAAGATGAGAGCAGCGGTGGAGCTTGGATTGCCGTTCTTGAATAAGTTGCGATTGGGCTCCGAGGTAGCTGGATAGGATCAATCGCAGGAGAAACACGATGATCGGTGGCAAGAGGGGCACAGATGCCTTCTCCAGCGCTTCGAGAGTGCAGCTCTCTTTGAAATTTGTCGAAATAGAGAGGAAGAGAATCTTTAAAAAAGAGTAAATTGTAGCGACTTTTAACTTTTAACTTAAGTAGAGCAACGATCATTCAACTAAAAATCTATTATTATTCGTCCATCAATTCATCAAAATGTGCAGCTATAGTTTCTCAACTAAAAATTCATTATCATTGGTCCCTCAACTTTAATTCAACTGGAGAAATAGTCTCTTAACTCTAACCCAATTGTAGCAATGGTCCTTCCAACATAACTCATTTTGACAAATTTTTTGATGTAGTTGACGAAAATGACTATAATTACACACTTTGATGAGTTGAGGGACCCTAATTGTATAAATGGTCATTCCAATATAACTTATTTTGACAAAATTTTGATGAAATTGATGAAAATAATTATAGCTACACATTTTGATAAGTTGAGGGACCAATGGTAATGGATTTTTAGTTAAAGATCATTACTCCAATTTGATTAAAGTTAAGGGACCATTGCTACAATTTACTCTTAAAAAAATAAAATGCTTTCTAATAAACAAACATTACACGGAGTAATTGCACTATGTTTAGTGGATTACCATTGGTTTTGAGAATAATAATAGGACAAGTTTAAGCTCCGCTAACATTTTTCCTTTTTGAACGAGCGATATTATCTAGAGTCGAAGAGTAAGCTAAATTTCACAATGTGTTAGCATTAATGTGATCCAAATTCACTTTTGACGAGAATTAAATATAAGACCTCTAGCTTATAAGTGAAGAAGAATATCATTATGCCGTAATACTAAGTAAACGATTCGGATTGTTGAAGTTTGATGTGGAGTGGATCTCACAACTAATCTCTATTTTTTGAAAAAAAAATAAAAAATGAATTTCCCTTTCCTTAAAAGATATGTGGGTATATGTGTTTTTTTTATTCGATTGATACACATTTCGTAGCACGGATGCATAACATATTACGCTATTACTCAATACTTGAATCCTTTGTTTGGTAAACAAATCTTCATTCTTAACATATTTGGGTGATAATTTAGGTTGTTAAAACTTTGATTAAAAATCACTTAGTACTACGATCTGGTGGTATTTATCTTCAGTTGAAAATGAGAGGTCTTAAGTTCGAATCTCGTGAATGACGAACTCAATACCAAATTAGAATGCTCATGGTGTGGCTTAGCCGAACTCCCCCTCCCTCTAATGAATAAATATTAATGTAATAAAAAATAAAAAAAATAAAAAATATCTGCAAATGAGAGGGGGAACGAAGGTCTGCATGCGGGTTTGATTGTTCATGGAATCGAAGACGATGATGGTAAATTACTTGGTGTGTTGAGAAATGCTTTTAGGATAAAAGAATTTCTCGAGTCAACCCAAAATTTGAAGAAATTTTTTGTTGTGACGGAAATACGAATGATACACCGCTTATGCAAGTGGTAGAAAATTTTAATTTTTAAATTATTAACATTTTAACACACATAACTCATTATTTATATAGGAACACGTGGTGTAACGATCACGCTGAAAAATCTCTCCGAAACTTGGCCTTTGTATTGAGGTTGGGTGGTCCGATGCGCAAAGCCTCTAAATTTTTGAAAATTATCAAAGAGATTTATACGCGCGAAACCCACATCTGACGAAACCAACCATTAAGTATCGGTCATTACAATAAGGCTTAGTTTTAGCTACGACCCCTCGAATTCGATTTTAAATTTCATTTTACTCCTGTAACTTAAAAGTCACTACTTTACTCCCTGAAACTCATAGTTCGCTCCACTTTGCCCCTAAAACTCATAATGGAGCGAACTATGAGTTTCATAAAGTTAAGTGACGACTTTAGAGTTCCAGAAGGCAAAATAAGATTGAAATGGTGTTCCAGGAGGCGTAGCTAAATATAAGCCTTACAACAACCACCACCAGGCCATCCTACTAAATGGGATCGGCTATATGAATTCCAAAACACCACTAGGCTTGTGCCCACTGCCAAGTTCAAAATTATTTCACAGGACTTGTTATTGTTACAACCGTTCCTATACGGGTAATAACAACTCAACGTTAACAAAAACTCGAACAGTGGACTTCTACTTATTATCTACAGAGCAGAAAGTAGACAGTAAAGCAGCTGTGGCCAAGCACAGGGTTGAGTTTAAAATATCTCAGTATGGTGTGAATATATTATTTACTATCATCGTTGCCGCCATACTCGGTAGAGTTACCATTCCAGAAGGAATTTCTGTCGCTGAACCGTTCATCATCTTCGTCGCGCTTCAAAGTGTGAATGTTGCTTCCGAAACCAGATGCTGGTGGCTTCCTGCTCTTTTTCTCCTCACTTTTACCACTTGTAGAAGCGTTTTGAGTGACGCTATTCCGACGTGTAGGGTTAGGGCCTAATATGGGAAAGCAAAACTGTCAGTATAACAGAAAATTTTGATTGCCAACCTCTGCAGCTTCAATCAAAAACTCTTTCAGCATCCTCCATTTATATTTCACTTTTCCTTCAAGTTAACTTGGGAAAGAAAGTGCATAACAAACACTCGTGGTAATCTTGCCATGCAGGTAGGCGAGTGCTTACTGTGTTGACTTGAACACGCTTCGTTTGGCTACCACAAACAAGCAATTGACATCATTTCACTAGCCCAACTAACTAAATTAAACCCAATGTCCCAACCGGAAAAGAAAGGAGCCACGTGAACCCAGGTAGTTAGCAGTCATGTATAAAATATCTGAGGGTTTGATGTTATACATCACTGGTTTATAAAAGGAGAAGACAGACTATGACCTATTAAAGGATTTCATGCCCTGCTCTACTTTCTATTGTAAATATCAGCTAAATGGAGTCGTCCTCCCCGTTCAAGATGCAACTATTCGACCAAAGCCAAAACTATACAAGATTATTAGAGTTTCTTTTATTTGATTTTTTTGGGGTTCTAAATTTCTGTATGCTGGAAAGTCATTAATAAAAAAGGTTTCCTAAGCTGAATAAGAGAATGTAAAAGAGACATTATAACATCACAGCAGAGAGCAGAAACTCACTATATTCCCACGTGCCATTTTCGGATTGCTGTCCCGAACTTGATGAGCTAGCACCACCACCCAAATAAGAAAGAGGATTGAAGTACGATAAAAATCTTTTCGCATACGAAAAATATCCCCCATTGCTTCCATCTGAGGAACTAACAGTATTTCTCGAGTCTGTTTGGTCAGAGAATGCAGATTTCCCACTCAGATAATTAGTCCCTTTCTGACGTGGAACCACTATCAATGCTTGCCTGTCAAACAGGCCCAAATCTGATAACGATTTGCTTAAATCTGCATAACACAATAAAAAGTTATGGTTTATATTAAAACATGATAATCTAAACAGGCAAAGAAGAAACGAACCACCAAATCATTGGATAACTCTATTTTAACATCACACAAACTTAGTTCGAGAATGCATTTACATTGTGCTCGCAAGTACATGGACAACAGATAGAAATGAACACAAGAAGAAACACCCATAATCTAGCAGGCCAGAGAACGAAGGATAGTATGATAGAAGGCAGTGTCATCTATTTTACAATAACTTCAGGATACAAGGAACACAAGTGACACCAGTCCACATACAAATTTTCAGCAGATAACGCAATTAGAAAGATAGGTAATAACGATTCAGAATTTCTTACCTTGATCACAGAATATCTTGCGAGGATAAGGGATGGCTAGATCATAGTTGCCAATACCACTTCCTTGGTTTTCATCCACATAGTCTTTAACCATTCTCATAGTGCTTGTTATAGAAAACTTCTCTTTCAGGCTGACACCATTGGGCAATCGTATATTCAAGTTAACATCACTTGATCTGCTGACCCTCGTACAATTCTCAAAGGTATCAACCTTCTTATCATCTTCGGCTTCACCCTTATCAACTTGTACAACTTCAGATTTTACATTACTAACTGCTTGTGAACCTTCACCTGAGACACCTGAATGATTAACAGTGGTCTTTTCTGGGCCACTATAACTACCTTCAGCAACAGGATTAACAATATCACCTCCAGACTTGTTCAGGTCTTCCATAGCAACATTATGTACTCCTTGGGCCGATTTGGTGGAAGAGCTGGACTGTTCATCCCCAACACATTCTAACCCATTAGCATCAAAAGATATTGAAAATGTCTTGTATCCTAAATCATTATTTTTCTTGTATTTATGTCAAAGAAAAACAGGTCCATGTCCTAGTTAATAAAGTTGGCAAATACTAAATGACTAATGAAGCAGTGAATGCAGGTAATAATATGTACCTCAATTTTACAACCACGACCTTTATGTTTCATCACTGTGTCAGATGCAGCATCTACAGCATCTGGAGATTGAACATTTGTGTCAATTAAGGGAGACTCAACAGCTGTACTTGAGGAACTTCCTTGATCAGAGATAACAGCTTTACTTGAGGAACTTTCTTCACCAGTTGAGACAGCATTAGGAACCCCAGAAGTCGATGGTTCGGATTTATTTGAAGCAAGAGCTGCACTCAATACAGTCGCAGTTGTTTCCTACAGTTGAATATCAGATAATACTGGTCATTGTTTCATTTAAATTTAACGTAAGAAAATGCATGGTCATTGGTCATGTCAGCTATAAATAACGAGCGAGGCTCTGGAGCATATAGCCAAGGTCAAGAGTACCTGCAGAGTATTGTCTCATGGACATCCCTACTGCTTCCCAGCTAATGTGCATTCATCAAACATTAACAGTGATTTCAAAGAGGAGATAATGTTGATGTTGCAAACGCTTAAATGATAAAGTAGCTAATAGGTTAGCACAAATCCGGTAGGTTCAGGTTCAAGCCCTAACAGGCTGTAGAATTGATTTGATCCGGAACTTTTTCAGAGAACCTAAAACCGAATAAAAAGCTGGAACAAATGACCCTACATACCCATTTGATTTCGAGTTCAGGACAGGTTGTCTAGTATTGGGCTCAAAAAATTACAAGTATTTTGTGTTCAAAAACAATAATTTGAGATCAAGAAGGCATAAGCCTAAGTGATAAATACACCTAACTTAGC